GGTCCATTTGATTCTCATTATTGTATAATGAGAATGAAAAATATAATCGTTATTGAGCTCCATACAAGATATAGAAATTGATGGCTTGATGTGGTGGATTAAGGTCATATTTTTCATTGGGAAAATTACATAAAATCGGGTACTTAAACTTCCAAATTCAAAATTCAAGTATGAAATTTATTTAATCAAAAAATCAGGTATTAATTGGATATTTTGTCAATTTAAATAATATTATAATACTAATATTTCAAATAAACCCTAATTCATTTTCAATCTCATTTTCTCTCACTACTCACCCAATCTCTCTCCCTCCTCTCTCTCTCTCTCCGAAATCGCCCACCAAAAAGAAGGTCGGCTTCGGCAACGCCACCACCAGATCTAACAAACCTCGGCGCCTCTACGTGCAGATCTATGGTTTCGCCGGTACACAAATCGCGGCAATTCATCACATCCTTCTCTCTGCTCACTACAGCAAAGGCAAGGGCTGCTGTGACATTGACTCCAGTCAAGTGCGATATGGTGTGGTGGTGAATCTGGTGCGGTGGATCTAGGTAGTGGCGACGGGGGTGGAGGTTTTGGCAGTGGTGGGCTTGGGATTTTTTTATTGGGTTATGATGTAGTGATGCCTGCTTTGTTGGCGGCAACGGGGGTGGTGGTGTCTCTGGGGCGGCGAGAAGACGGGGTGGGGGTGTGCTGGCTATGACGGGTTTGGGGTGTGGGTTTGTGCGCCGTCGCACAAAGTTTTCCTTCTCACAGAAGATGGCGACGATGTGAGCGGCCCCGCTCGCAGCATTCTGGTGGTTGTGGTGTTGAGGCGGTAGTGGTTGTTTAGTGGTGCTAGTTGTTGGTAGGTTGCAAAATGGTGGTGGTGGTTCGTTTCTGTGGTGGTTGTGTACTTCCTATGGCGACGGTGGTGTGACGGTGCGGTCGAGATGGCGACAAAAATGGTGGTGGTGGTTCGTTTCAACTCGCATTCAATGAATTCTGAGTTCTGTGTTTTTGGACAAAAGATTCAGATTCCCATTGTGATCGGCTATGATGATTTTATAGGTTGTCATAAGCAAATTTGGTATTCTTGTTATGGTTTTATTTCGAAATGGGAATTTCAGAAATAGGAGACGCTGTGATTGAGTTGATTTGAAACAATCGGATAAAAATAGATTATCATTAGCAAGACCTACCAGGATCAAAGGTTTGATTACAATAGATGCTTCAATGCAGCGTATACGGTAAGAGAATAAAATATGAGAGAAAATTGGAAAATATTTTTGAAAATATATGCGTGAATCAGTAGAAGTGGTGTGGATATTTTTCATAGCTGGTCATACTTTTATTGTTAGTTATATTCAATTTTTGTTCAGGCATTTTAGTTTAGGTTTGGTTGAGAGGACTACCAAAATCTAGGTTTGACGATATGATTTTGGACATTAGCAATTGATTTTAGTGAATTAATGGAGCAAGAATTGAAGTCATGGCCACAGCTGCCAAGTTTGGCTTACTATTAAAACACACGAGAATTGACAACAGTGGCTAACATATAAATTGGAGAGGGGAGAATTTCACAATATCTTTTTTCCCCACCGCCATAGTGGTAGTGTCGGCGGTTTGAGACCAAATATTTGGTTATCTATGACCAAATGTTTGGTAATATGTGATCAATTACTCAACTGTGACAAAAAAATTTAATACTGTGTGACTCAAAAATATAATCCGTGACCAACCATTTTTTTATCTTTGACCTAAAAATTATATAATCTGTGACCGTAAAAAAATCTTTGACTAATTAATTTGAAAATCTGTGACTGTGTGACCTATAAATTTTGATATGTGACCAACTAATTTTGAAATCTGTGACCAACGAATTAATTGTGACCTATAAAATTTTTGAACTGTGACCAGAATGGTCATCAGAATAGTCGTCAGAATAATTGCTAGAATTGGAGCAGTTGCCGAAACGGTCGTCGGAATGATCGTCGGAGAAGAGTGGTGGTCGGAATGGTCGCCAGAATAGTCTCCAGAGCGGTATGGGTGGTGCATGCGAGATGAGTTAATTATATTATATTAGAATTAAATACTTAATAATAAATTGATTTAATAATTCATTATTTTATAAATAAAAATTATAAAAAAACCTGATTTTTGAATTTTCAAACTATAAACTTGATTTTTGAATTGGTGTAAATTATACACCTTATTTATGAATTTTTCCTCAAATTATTTGACATTTGTTTTGAATCATCGCCTTGATTTATTGGGTATTAAAAAAACCCAACAAAATTGAATTATTTAAGAGTGTTTGCTGCTCACAGCACTGTAACGTAACTCAAGTTACACACGATTTGGTAATATGTTTTGAGGGAAGTTTTAGTATGATTAACAGAAGCGTTCTGTAATTATGATAGCTGGTCTTACTCACAATCACATGTTGGGGTGGTCAAATTTACAGATGATCCACTCTCTCACTCACAGTTTTTCTAGGGTTGTGAGATGTGTCAGTTTGAATGGATTTGGTTGGCCTTTTCCTACAATGGTCCCACGAGTACTCTCGCTCTTTCTTCTCAACACTTTTTAGGACAGCATTGGAAGCTTTGATTGATTTTGAGGAGAGTGCATGAAAGCCACCTACTACAGGACAAGCAGCTAGAGCTCAAAATCAAATTTAGGAATGGCTAATCAGGGTGAGAATAATGTGATGATGAGGGATTACAGAAAAGGGAACTGGACAGTTCAAGAAACAATGGTTCTTATAGAAGCAAAGAAAATGGATGATGAGAGAAGAATGAAGAGCGAGAGAGGCAAACCAGCTGAGTTGAGGTGGAAATGGGTGGAGGATTATTGTTGGAGAAAAGGGTGTTTGAGAAGCCAAAATCAGTGCAATGATAAGTGGGATAATCTGATGAGAGATTTTAAGAAAGTTAGAGAGTACGAGCGGAGAGTGGCGGGCGGAGGAGAGTTGTCTTATTGGAGGATTGAGAAAAGTGACAGGAAAGACAAAAAATTGCCTTCCAATATGTTGCCTCAGATATATGATGCATTGGTTGAGGTGGTGGAAAAGAAAGGTTTAACGGCGGCAGCCACTGGTGGTTCAAATGCCAATGCCACTGTTGTGGGGTTGCCTTCTGGATTAGGTCAGCCTTCAATGCCTCGTGTGATGCAAAATCCTATGCCTGCACCAACTGTGTTGCTACCACTCCCACCAACGGCGCAACCCACCATTCTTCGATATTCTCAGCCATTGCCGGCGGCAGGTATCTATCTCCTTCTCATTAATGCACATTGTGCACTAGCTATGCACTCAGTCCCCAAATGAGCACAACAATAAATACAAAGCAGAGTTTTCTACATTTTGGCGGAGTGGTAGGGGCGAGTAAGAGTCGATATAGTTCACTTCTTGCAGTTTTTACCTTTTAATCCATATACTCATTTCTAAATTTTCGGCATGCCATACTTTTGTGTGAAAAATAAATAAATTCCTCACCTGCAGTTAGGGTATCATTGTAGATTGAACTTAAATATGAGTTCCTGTACAAAAGTTTTAAGCTCGTTCAAGAAATTATATGTGCTAATATTTTGGAAATGCTTAAAACTTAGGTTCGGATACGACTGAGTATTCAGATTCACCATCCAAGAGAAGGAGAAGAAGAGGAGAAGGAAGCAGTGGTGGCAGCTTACATGAAGTTGGATCAGCAATCTCAAAGAGTGCTTTCATAATAGCAGAAGCCATTCGATCAAATGAAGAAAGAGAAGAAAGAAGGCACAGAGAAGTTCTGAGTTTGCATCGAAGAAGACTGCAAATTGAGGAGTCTAAGGCTGAGATCAATAGACAAGGCATTAGTGGTCTGGTTGAAGCCGTCAACAAACTCGCCGATTCTATTCATTCTTTGGCTTCCCACAAATCTAATTAATCATATTTCAATTGATTAATTTAATAACTTAGGTATATAGAGATTTATTAGCCTTTTCCCTTTGTATGACATTTACTATTTTTGCTTCCAGCTGTATGGTATCACACGCACGATGGAGAAAGGAAACAAAATTCTTGGCGAAATGGCTTGCAAAAGTTGGTGAATGGTCATTTTTTTAGTGGCATTTTATCCATCTGCTATGCAATGAGATGATAGTAGTATATTTGTTTGTCCAAAACTACTTTTGAATCAATGATAAATTGAAGCCTTAAGCGAGCTTATTTAACTTAGTATTCACTTTTTCAGTGTCGGATTCATTATGGGAAAGAGAGTGAATTATAAATGCCTCGTGTTGGGTTTCGGACCAAGTCCCCCGGTGCTATTGCCAATGGAAAGCAGTGGAAGGTAAATTCATTTTAAGAATAAAGAGTTAAAAAGGATTGTTACCTCGATCCGACAAACAATATAACATTTCCTTATAGATCTCTTGCACCAGTTTTAACACCAAAAGATTGGTAAGGGTTCACGCGCACACCTTTCTTGTACTAGGGAAAAAGTTTATTCCCTCCAAAATTTTACACAAACATCCACTTCTAGTTTGTTAAGACTAGCTTCAATCCAAAAGAGTATAAATTGTCAAGATTATTTTTGATGCATAAATCATAATGCGCTTTACAATTTCCTGACTTTGTAATTTACGCCATATTTGGTGGAAGACGAAGATAATCTGGAGCGGTGAAGCTCAGTTTTGTCCTTGTTGAATGCTATTTGAACTTCATCTCTGAGTTGAATAAAGCGTGTTCGCTTGATTCTCTGCTCCTCTGGAGTACCTTTCTCAAGATAGAATAGATCGGGCAAGTCATCCTCCATAAACCTATCCAGCACTTGAGAGCAATGAGGGAAATACCGACGCCCTAACTCAACTGCCATCATGTCAAATATAGAAAGCTTAACAACATTTTAACCCACTGAATGGGGAAAAGAATTCTTGAACATAGATCAGAGATACCTATTTAGAAGATTTTGTATTGCTTTATTCTATCAAGAACTTACAGTAATAATGCTTTATATTACATCCTCGGAATATCGTGGGAGCAAAGTTTTAATATGAATATCTAGTTTTAAAATTAAAAATGAAATAATATAACAATACAAACAATCTTACTAATTTCTTGAATCTATTCATAACTTTTATGCATCAAACAGAGCAAATTCACTTCAATTTAGATGACTAATAGAGATTTAAACGATTTTGTCCCAGACAAATTGTGGAACTTATACTGAAAATTTTAGCACATGTTTGGCTACTGTTTATTAATTGTTATAATTGATCAAACCACTCTTAAACGGTTCATAAACAACTCCCAAACATGCTTTTAAATTGCTAGAGGCAATAAATTCAGAACCAACTGTGTAATTTTCATACCTTTTACCCCCATCAAACTTTCTCTCTTTCCCCTGGTTAAAGACATTTTCCAGCGGTCAATTTTGCAAATAAAAATAAATGTAAAATACAGTTTTCCCCCTCACTGGCCCCACCCCCTCCGCCACTGCTCCTAACGCAGCAAAATCTATCGAAGTATGGTTAGAATTCTCGCAAGAAATAGTATATTAGGAGAGAAATGAAATAGAAAACAGGCTTTGCAATTTACATACAAGATTGGAAGAACATAGGTAGACGATCAAGAGCACAATGACGAGAAAACCAATTATTACAAGTTTACCTTATAAGAATTGAGGGAGACTATCAAGAGGATGAAGACAAGAAAAACAATAGGTCTTAATGGAATTCCAATCAAAATATGGAACATTTGGGCAATGCTGATATTTTATGGTTATTTTAAAGAATTAACATTCGCATGAAGAATCGAGAAAGTTTGTTGTAATTCTTATTTACGAGCCTTTCCATTTAATTAGACTAAAGCAATGGGAGGCCACCCACATTTTGCAAGTTGAGACAAAAACGTGAAATTTGACGAGTTGGAAAAATCTAAAAGTTTGTTATACCTGTTCTTGAGAGGGTTTCCATTTTTGCGAGGAACCTTTTGTTCTGCATGTGGGGTGTCTCATTCAAATCAACCTCCCGCAAGTTCCCACTTGAACCTTTTGATGACAGAAGACCAGCTAACTCAGAAGTTGTCTCAGCATGTGCAATTTCCATAGCTAGCTTAGCTTCAGTGGGGTAAAACATTCGTGCAAATGCCACTGCAATACATGAATAAAAAAATATACTGATGTGCATGAATCACCATGGATCTATATGTTCATAAACTTTTTAGCTAATTCCTAGGTTCTGTATTACTGGTCCCATGACCACTATAATGAAGAACGATTTTACAGACATAATTACCAAATTTAATAGTTTTCTTTGCATATCAGAACTACTTGTAAATAGCGTCTATGCATTGATTTGAGTCTAATATTCTTTTACAGTATAAAAAGTAGTTGAGCATCTCATGTTATTTTTGGTATTTAGGTTGACGGCCCCCCTGCTTAGCACACTCAACAGACATGAACCTTAAAAACTTTTAACTTTTCATGATATCCATTTCTTAGGCAACTGTTTACATCAAACCAAAGGCTATAAAATATTGAATAAGATTGTCAATACCTCGTACCTTTTTTCAGTCTTTAAATATTGCAAGTTTATTCAGTAACGTAATGAAGGTTTAGCATTTATGAAAATAAGAGCATGGAATGATTAAGAAACTAGAAGTGACTACACAGTTCAAGGATACCAGATTAAGGAAGTTACCTCTGTCTTCTAGGTAAAGCAGTTTCATATGCAGATCATCAGCCATTGTCAGGGAAGACACCAACACATCTCCAGCCATTGGATTCCTGTGCATCTCTCTCTCCAAAACATCAATGCATATCCTGTCTTTGTTTGCTTCCTGCCCCTGCTCTGTCTTTGCCTGATAATCTTTCGGCCTCGTCAATCTCCTACAAATACTAACTGCACTCTGTCCTTCCAATGTTGTTTCTGATGCAATCGCTCCCTTAGTCAAAAGAGAAACTATAATTGATGGCTCCTTGCGCATAGCAGCAATGTGAAGAACAGTGTAACCCCGCCTATTGAGAAGGTTGACATCAGCCAAACCTAGACTAAGAACCTCAGATACTATCTTAGGATCACAATATGCAACAGCATAGTGGAGAGCAAAGGCCTCGTCTAAGGTTATATCAGACTCAGTTAGGAGAAGCCTGACAAGTTCAACATCATCCGAATCCAATGCCTTGTGTATTCTCTTAATTCTCTTCTCGCGCAAGGGATCAACAATTACCTCATTTTCAGCCTGACAATTAATGCGGAGCATTCTAATTTCCTCTGCAACGTTGTATGGAAGCTCTGTCTCAATAGCGACGGACTCGAGGTCTGATCGTGCCACTCTATGGACACACTGTGTGAGAAGTTGAGGTAATTGACAATGATAGGCGACCATCAGTATTGGGATAACATCTTCTACAATAGCCTTGCTGACCAAGTTGAGAAGTCGACGCTGCAATTTAACATCGATATATTATCCCTGGTTGTGAATGAAGACAATTTTGCAGGAAAATAGTCTAGGAAAAGATGCATTTACACTACATGCTTAAGTTAGAAATTTAAAGATAAAAAGAGGTTAAGCTTTTACACCATTACAGACTTCTTTTCATGATAAGATCTCAAAAAAAAAAAAGATTGCCTGATTTGTTGTTTGTGTCATAAATAAGGTTTTCCTCAAACAGTTTCCAGCTGAAAGAGTTGTTCCTGAAGTCATACCCCCTTGCCAAAATGCAGTGTACATCACGTTATTGCATTAATATATAACGAAGCAGCATACAAAATACACTTAAAAACACGCACTTTAATTCTTTAATCTACCAGTAGCAGTCTAGTCATTGCTATTCTTATTACTACTAGCAACGTAAATGTTAACTCCAGTCCACTGATTTGTTCATTGTCCACAAAATGCATTGATTTGAATGTACAATCGCAGCCACTTATATTGTTAATTTGCATACAAATCCATTCCCATGCTAATGCCGAGTTTGGCTTTTGGGTGGCTTTGAATGCACATTTAGTCGAGCCCTTGCCTCATTGCATCATTTAGAAAGCAGAGAAATTTTCACTTCAAAGCAACTATGACTTGAAAATAGCTGAATAATCATTATCCGAGTAAGTTACTATCAAATGGTCAAGTAGTAAGTTAGAAGTTCTAGGGTTCGAGTATGGAACAAAGGAGTAAACGTCACCGCAATTCGCTAGCCTATCGTCCAACTGTTGCTCGAGCGGTAAAAACAAAAGCTGTGTCGCCCGCCTGTCGCTTGGACTTCGCTCGAGCGAGACACCGTCGCTCGCCTGTCGTTGAGCTCGCTCGAGCGACAGTGTATTCCGGAAAAACCTAATTCACGTTTTTCAAGATTTTTATCTAGCCGATACTACCCAAAACCTCTTCACTATATATATGAACGCCACCACACGAAAAAGAGAGGTTGAACATTGAGAGAAACAAGGTTTTTCATCCTACATATCATTCTACATCTCATGGAGTTCAACAATTATTTTGATTTGATCATTGCTTAGAAAAACATTGTCCTCCCATAAATCAAACACCAAAACACATACTTCCACAACATTTGTCAGAGTTCTGAAGATCAAGGAAGGTAACCGGAGTTTCTGGTCGTTGGAGAACAAGGAGTTCTCATTAACTCACATAAGATACACGAATTTAGAAAGTCGGGAGTTGCTGCAGAAGCACGTAATCCAGGAGGGTTTTGGTGATTACAGTCAGGAGATCAGAAAACACTAGAATTAGTTGAGTCTGAAGTATTGTAAGTTGATTCATTTATAGTAGAGGTAGGCTTGGTCCCGGAATTTTTACCCAGTTAGGTTTCTCCGTCATCAATATTGGTGCTATTTATTGCTTTCTTATTACAAATTGCAGCAATTCAACTTAGAATAATTGGACTATTTGTTTAACTATCTAGAAACAATTAAAAAGTGACTTGTTGCTTTGAATTGTATAATTCCGCGCGTAAGGTCGAACATAATATTTAATTCCGCATAAACACCAATTCACCTCCCTCTATGAGTTAGTTGGGTCGAACCTCGTTATTTCACACTTCATAATCTAGAAATGAAGGGCACAAAAGAGTTCATGAACAGAGATCAATATTACATCTATCACATGAAAATGCTAAGTGGTAGTCAACTAGAAACTGATAGTTTACCTGAAAAAGTGAGACCAGTTCCGAAACTTGAAAAACAGTGGATGCATACATCAATTCCACAGCAAAGTTGATGGCAGGTCTGCAGGCATCATGGGCGCATATGTTATCAACGCACGTAGACACCGCTGGTGGAGATGACTTTAGCTTTCCAGTGTACAAGTAGCTCAAGAAAATAAGAAAAGCCTCATATCCAACCTGGCCATAAGGCAACAGGTCCGTCATAAAGTACTTTGGCTTGCTTTCCTTCCCAATGGATCCCTTGTCTTTTCCAAAACGATCACAAAAAAATTTACTCCTGGCAGCTAATATACATCGGTGAACACCAACACTAGTGCCTTCAACTACAATATCCGCATCACTGAAATCACTATTGGAATCACATAAAAGTTGCTCCAAATTAATGCTTAGCTTACTTAAGCTGATGATATCGAGATTGAACCCCATCTCAGAGCCTCCAAGGGCATCTTTATTATCAATAGAGCCATTAGATACATGAGAAAATGATGTGAAACTAATCGATGAGGACAGTTCAGCTGGACTCGCCATTAATACTATATAAGCATCAAAACCCTACCTCTGAGGGCCAAATTCATTCATATTTATCCCTCTTAACAAAATCAAAATCCAAATATATCAAACCCCAATTATACGACCCATAAGGATTAAGCACGAGGATATGCCCATATGGATACTGTCATTCAAAATTAGCAAAATTCACATAAGCGTAGGTAGACTGCAGAATTTGAAGGAACACAAATTACTCCCCTTAAACCCAAAATTCCAATACAAAATCTTGTTTATCTCTAAATTTTCATCAACCCATGAAATATTCCAGATAACTATCTCAACAGGCACAACGAAGAAAGAAACAAACAACCATCTGAACAAGAACAGAAACTGCTAAAGAAGAGGAAAACCAGCGTAATCCCTGAATAAGGTGATGGGCAAAAGAATCCAATGAATTACCTAAGTTTAATTTGAAAGGGACTGAAGAGAATAGAGCATTTACAGCAACAGAGCAATTAATCAAGCATCGAGTAGATCCAAAGAAAAGACATGAAAAGAGCAGAAGCTTAGAATTCATCAAACTTAGAAATCAAGCAGGTCCCACACGGCAAGAAAGAAAAAAGAATTGTCTTTGTAATGTAAAATCATAGTCGCTTTCTTTTATTTATTTATTTATTATTATTATATAATCAATTTTGTAATCAAAAATTTTTAATTATTTCTATTTAAATCATTATTTACGCAGTAATAAATTAGAAAAAAATTATTTAAAGTCATCAAGCTTTTTATTTCTTTTAAATTAAAATACAACTATCAATTAGGTCATATTTGAGTCAAATTAGTGTAGAATAAGAAAAATATAGTCGTTATTGGGATCCACATAAAATATAGAAAATTTAAATTTAACGATCATATTTTTTATTTTAATGAAATAATAATGTAGATCAAACGGAGGCTTAATATTTTTTTTTTTTTGGTCGATTTGAACATTATTATTTCAAAAATATTGTAACGTTGTTTTTAATTTGAAATTGTGGGTTTAAGATAAAAGAAGATGAAATTGTGGGGCCCAAAGAGGGTGTGATTTTGTCGGTAGTTGATTTGGTAAGGAGAGTGGAAGGAAGCATATTACATAAATGAATAATGAAGCTAAAGTGCTGAAGTCGTTCGTATGACGTTACGAATGATGTCAGTCTCCCATGATGTCTTCAGCTCACGTTTTCCATGCCGTCACCTTTTCATTTATTTACTTTTATATTATTTCCATGCCCATCTTTTTCTTTCTTCCATACAGCACTAACTAGAATTATCATATCAAAAAAGGCTCAAAAGGAAATTAAATAACTGTTAATTAGAATATCAAAAAAAGTAATTCGTCCTTACCTTTCACTATTATTATTGAAAACGTTCTTACCTTCATTTTTTGACATTTTCACCATTATTTTCACATTTCATTGCGCAAAAGATTATTTCATCATTTTTCTCAATTAAATGCTTTGAATTGACGAATATACTCTTCTATTTAAATAAAAAAGAAAAAGAAAAAGAGAAAACTAATTGTAATTATAGTCCCATTTTTTTTCAAAAAAAGTACAAACGAGTTCCAAATAAATTAGTAAAGAATAATGTTATTTATCATCATGATGATGAAATATCGATGATATGATAATCTATTATCCTTCAAATTTCTTTTTCTTATAAAAATTGAACCGTTCAACCACATTATTCTCCACAAACGATCACATCACCCATATTCTATCATTATAATGATAAATAGCGATATTCATTAGTAAAAGAACAATTAACATATAATGTCTATACCTTTCACTATTATTGTTAAAAACTACATTTGATTACGTAAACCATCATTTCTATCCATTTTCATCCAAGATCTCAATAAAAAGTTGTGATGATTTGCTCAATTAAATGTGTAATTAATGGTGAAAATGTCAAAAAAGAGAAAGATATGAACGATTTTCATAATAATAGTAAATGGAAGGGACATTATGTGCCTACCTTTAATAATAGTAAATGTAGAAATGAGGGTGAGAATGCTAAAAATTAAAAGGTAAAGATATTTTCCACAATCGTTGAGTACCATGTCAAATTGCCCTTTGCTAACCCCATCTTCTCTTTGGCTCTTGATTAGCATCAGACACATTATCTTGCCAACTAACTGCAGCTATTGATGGACAAGAAGAGTCCTTCGGTCCTCGGTGATTAACATCTGCCCCCAATGAACATAACATGCTCTTTACCCTCAAAATGAGGAAGCCTTCCTCCAAGTTTTGCATTGATCTTTGATTCTTTAAACAAAGATTTGTAGAGTATTGGTCTTGCCTTTTGTTTGCAAGCATGGACATGCAACACTGGGTTATACCCGTTTTACCGGTTTTTGACAGATTTTCAAACCAAACCATTTAAACCGGTTTGAGAAAAATCCAAACCTAAATTAAACCATTTTAAACGGTGTGAAAAAAACTTAAACCTCAACCTAACGGTTTGGTCCAGATTTAAACCGCCGGTTTCGCCGTATAATTTTTTGTCTATCTACTTTTATGCCATTAATTCATAGAAATCAAAATAAATTTATATTTTACTAGCAATAAATCTAAAACAAACTAAATAAATCAACTACAAATTTAAATACTAACTAAATCAAAGTGAAATAACAATAAACTAAAATATAGTTTTTTGTTCGTCCTTTTTAGGCTAAGACGTTACGATAACGTTACAATATAAGTTTACTAAACTAAATATAAGGGTAAAAAAATATAATGATGTCCAACAAGACCTCGTGATCATCATATCTGAAAAAAATAATGATAGACAGAGAGAATAACCAACCACAATAATAAATCAATTGTTTATAATATCTAAATATAACAATTACACAAGCTTACCGTTGTATGTTGTTACGAATTCAGTTTCTCACATATACTCAAACATCAATTGTTGTCACACATAATTCATCGTTTCCATAGTCAAACAAATGCATTAATTATATCATCATAATATTAGATACTAGATAGATAAGAGAATTTTTAAAAATATGGTAATAGAAAATATAAACCACCTGCCACAACTTTCATTGAATCATCCACTGCCTCCACTTCATGTAAACATTGGCGCAGCACTATATGCTCCTTCTTAATTTGCAACTAATTATTTCCCCATATACAAGCCTCAACCGTCCTTGCACCTAATGAACTCATAAATGAATCAAATATCCGACCTCTAGTTGAGAATGCAGACCCAGAAGCAACTGTAGAAATTTGAATTCTGAAGAGAAAAATTGTTTTTGATAGATTATGTTAGTCTTGAGATTATTATATATAAATTAGGATTATTGGGTAATAATAATACATATGTAATAGAAAATTAAAAATTGACAAAAATACCCACAAATGACAAAACGATTTAACTTTTATATATTTGGATGAATTTTCAGTTTTTTTATTTTTTTATTTTTATATATTTTTTTGCCTGTCCGGTTTGGTTTTAAACCGCAATTAAAATTCTCAAACATAAACCAAACCGTTTTTGACCGATTTGGTTTGATTCAAAACAATTTCGTTGAAGGGTCCACGTGACACCAAACCGACGATTTCTAAAATGCGGTTTCTGTTCGATTTTTCGATTTGACGATTTTTGCTTATAGCCCTATCTGGACAAGAAGCTCATCCATTGACATTCCAAGGATTTATCCCTATCCACTTTAACCAAACTGGGAGAATTGAGCATTAGATCAGGATCACCGATGACGCGACCAGCAACCATTGTCATGTTCTTGTCAACTCTAATATCAACATTTTTCATGACATCCCTATACAATATAATTTGAATACATAAATAACACCATATTATCCTCAATAAAAACAATCAATAGAGAAAGCATATTCAACCAAATCACATTTTCAACTACTATATGCTAGAATGTTCAAAGTTCCTTATAGTAAGTAACATGTCTCCAGCTGAATAAAGCGGTTTGACAAGTTCAGTTTTCAAGCAATAAATACTTGCATAGCTTTGTCAACTAATAGATACCATCAATTCATGTAGAGTATCACCTACATTCGGAACAACCAGCAACGTGCAATATTTATGTCCTTTGTGAGTCCCTAAATTTCAATGTGAGAGTGTGCTCCATATGCAATTAAATTACCTAATTTTTAATGACCAGAACCAACTCAAGATAACCACACAATCAAACACAAAAATGCATATAAAGAAATGAAGAAGGTGATTGTACTTACCCACAAGGTCCATCCTTAGCCTGCACCATTTCATAGATTGTATCCTTTCTTTCATGTGGTGGAGAAACTGATAATTTCTTCGAGAACTGAAAATGAACAATGTACTGTAGAATAATTTCTAGCATTTCAATATATAAGATACATGGATTTATATACATTCCAATACTAAGCTATATTTGACAAGAAGATCAACTATATAAGCTAGCTTATAAAGTTTTATATCCAAATATAAAACTCATGGTAAACTGGATTGGCTGCAATGTGCGATGCCGCTTGACTATCGTAGAACAATTTGGCTGGTTGTAGACGTTTAACTAATAAGTCATTAAATGAGTATTTGAGCCAAGTGATCTCACATGTAATGGAAGCCATCACTCGATATTCTGATTCGGCTGAAGACCTTGATATGGTCATATGCTTCTTGGTTTTCCAAGAGATGAGAGCTCCTCCAAGAAAAACGCGATAACCAGTAATAGATCGTCTTGTAATAGTGCATCGAGCCCAATCCGCATCACAAAAGCCTGTGTTTTGTAAGCTTCCTTTGGCTGGAAAACATAAATCTTGTCCTGGTGCCTCTTTTAGATATCTTAGAAGGTGGTGGACTGCATTTAGGTGTGGCTTTCTCGGCTCTTGCATGAATTGGCTTAAAATGTGAACTGGGTATGAGATTTCTGGACTTTAAATAGTGAGATATATAAGTCGGCCCACTAATCTTCTTTAGATGGATGGACTTTTTAATAAATCCCCTTATATGGGCAGAAGTTTAACCTTTTCTTCCATGGG